CACAAGCCAGAGGGATACAGCCTGGCTGACACGGCGAGCTTCATGTCCAGAAAGGGCTATTATGCCCCGAGTGTCATGATCGTAAGTACCGTTAGCATCTTTTCTTACTTGCCCATCGGAGCAATTGTTCAGTTTTGACGCCACAGCTGAAAAAAGTAATAATTTAATGAATAAAAGAGAACCTGCGGGGAACTGGGTGCGAGCTAGTTGGTGGCTGGCACGGCCTCGGTTATCATAGGTGGCAAGTGTTTGTGTGTGTGAGCCAGTTGCCGTTTTTGTGTTCTCGTTCTGGCGTGCATGCGCAATGGAGTTGTGCATTTTGGAGGTAATCAATAATATGAGTCGCAGTTGTAGCAGATGTATATGCACAATAAGGAAGTATTTCAAACACGAAAGTACTTACAACCACAATTGCATGGGCTAGCTTTGATATTTAAGAGTGTTCTTTCCCAATAGCATGGCGTAGGTTTTCACTTATCGATCATTCAATAGAAGTCGTAGCCATGTCTACAGAAGAAGGGTCATTGCCTCCCCCCCCCCCCCCCCCATCGGTTGCTACACCCTATCCCTGTGTTTCCCTCTATACTCCGTTTCATACATCATGTGCAACGCTGTCAAAGCTAGCGCTCTTGTTTGCGCTGTGTACTGCCGCAACCAAAAAGTAGTGCGTCGCTTGGGGTGTACAAGAATCAGTAAATTCTTCTCGGGAAACTTCTAACTATACATATTTGTCATCAGGTTAAAAAACAAACGCCTGTGTTGTCGGATAAACAATCCAAATATGCGAGTTGGTAATTTATGTTTGTCGCTTTCGTATCAGGTTTTCGCTCTCCGGGCGACCCGCGCCGCCGTTTTTTTTTTTACTTGTTGTGGCAGCTTCGAAAAAATGGCGTCCAGCTCTGTGTCCTCGACCACCTCTCCTGCGTGAATTTTTTCGAAGCTTCGCACATCAAAGCTGTCAAAGCACGCCAAGCAAGTAATTGAAAATGTGTATGCCCGTACCAGGATGCGTTTCCCGGCGAAATCTGTGCGGGAAGTGCTGAGTGTTGTGAGCGAGGACACTGGAATATCTCCCCGTACCGTGGCGAAATTGAAGGCGGAACGTCTGCGTGGGCCTTTGGTGTCACCGAAAAAACGAGCTCGCGAAGTGAAGATTTCGAGCTCGCGAACCGTCAAACATGACAGCTCGACAATCCATGCCATCCGTCTGAAAGTGCACAGCATGTACGCCAAGAGGGAAATCCCAACACTGGACAGTGTGATAAGGGCTGTCAACGAAGACGACGACTTGCCGAACTTCACGAAAACCACCTTGTGGAGGCTAATGAAGGACATCGGCTTCACCTTTGCTAAGAGAAAACGGAATCTTGCGCTAATCGAGCGCAGTGACATCATTGCCTGGCGTCGCAGGTACTTGCGGGCGATCAAGAAATTCCGAGGACAGGGCAGGCGGGAACCGTTACTTTCATATTTCCTTACGCAGCACATGTAGATTGTCTTGATATAACACTTGATGTTAGCATTGCAACTTTATAATCGTAATGGAGAGTATTACATCTTAATTAAAACCTGGAAAAAAGAAAACGGTTAAGCAAGGTAATTGCTTGCAGGTCGCATTTCACGACTTTTGTTTTGTTGGGTGGGGGTATTTGCCTCAATCGGTGAGAGTTATTCGCTAAATCTCAGCCGTTTGGTGCGGTAAGCGCTCATTCCCATGAAAGATGCGAGTTACTGGCAGCATTGTTGGGAATTTTGGTGTCTATTTTCGTTTCCATTCGTGCAAAATGATAGCGACGGCCAATGAATTCTTACCGAATACCGCATGTGTGACATGTGAACTTGCCATGAATCAAAACTGACAGCCAAATGCCACCTACGTGTCGAATTAAAGCCCGACTAAAGAAAGCACTGACGCCGACCGTTTTTTTCCTCAATTGACGCTAAGCAGCTGTTTACGAAAGAGCAGTCAGCATATGAGTGGGTAACAAAGAAAATAGAATATGCATATGAATGCTTTTTGTACTTTTTGCTCAAGTTGTCCTTTGCAGTATTTTCGACTATGGTCATGCCAAGACTCAAACTGCTGCTGTGGGTATGTTTACTTGTGTGCGCTAACTCGTGCGCTCGTTCGTTTTGCTTTGTACAGGTGCATCATCTACTTGGATGAAACATGGGTCAACGCAGGCCATACGAAGGAGTACATTTGGCAGGACACGACTGTGAAGTCATCGCAAGATGCCTTCCTCAAAGGTCTGACGACAGGATTGGCTGCACCCTCGGGCAAAGGGGCCCGTTTGATCCTCGTACATGCTGGCAGCAGTGCAACTGGTTTCATCGAAGGAGCTGCTGACTACTTCCGAGCAAAAAAGGGGGGCAGCGCTGACTACCACTCTGAGATGGATGGCAGATACTTTGAGGAGTGGTTCACCGACAAGCTTTTGCCAAACATTCCGCCTAATAGCGTTATTGTCATGGACAATGCGCCATACCACAGCGTAGCTCTTGAGAAAGCACCTACCAAGTCGACGCGCAAAGCTGATATTCAGCTTTGGCTCACAAAGAAAGGTGTTCCGTGGTCAGAGGACATGGTGAGAGCTGAACTGCTGGAACTTTCCCAAAAGGTCAACACACCCAGTATTGTGTACCGCATCGACACTCTGGCGGCTACCCACGGCCATGAAGTGCTTCGTGTACCACCATACCACTGCGAGTTCAACCCAATCGAGCTTGTTTGGAGCCAGGTAAAGGGGTACATCGCAGCACGGAATACGGGTTTCACTTTGGCTGAAGTAGAGAAGCTTCTGCCAGAAGCATTGGCATCTCTAAAACAGGAAAAGTGGCAAAACTGCTGCGCTCATGTAGAGCAAGTTGAAGCTGAAGCATGGGAACGGGACATGATTGTGGATAGTGAAATCGAACCACTTGTCTTCTGCATTTGTGATTCGTGCAACTCCTCCTCCGATGAGTCGGGTGCTCAGTTCAGTGATGACGAGTTGAGTGGCATTATAGAACTTTGCTGACTTTCGAGGAATGTGCGGCCTGTCAGTGGTGGCTTTGTTCACGAGGGTCGACTGGTTGAGCTGGATTGTGAACACCTTTCTAGCGAACCTGCTCGTGCCGCTTCATGCTGAGCTCATTCCCCAAGAAGGCTGTGTTATTATGACAAAGCAAAGAGTGCTTCCTCATCGTGTGATTTTGTGTGTTGGGTTTAACGTCGCCAAGTGACCCGGGCTAGGAAGGACACTGCACTGTACTGCTCCCTAATAATTACCTTATTTATGTTTTGTTGTGAAGTGCAAACGTTCGGAATGGTCACACGACCTCTGTAAAAACTTGGTATAAAAAAGGAAAAAAAAGAAGATGTCGGAACCCACCACGACATCGGCCAGAGGTGCTCTTCTGTAAATAAAGTTTGCGTTTTTTAAACCACAAAAGTCGTCATCCGTTCGGAATATTGGTCCATCGCACGCAATGAGTATTGCCCCTGGATGTATGTATGTATGGAACAAATCTCCAACTTTTTGAACCAGTACAATTTTTGGGCACTGAATTACCCTATACCATAAAGATTTTTTCATCCGAGAAAAACAGGCCGTATCCAGGTTTTTATAAAAAAAAACGATTGACGCATAAATTAAAATTTAGAGTTCCTGCCGAATAACAGCCTAGCTGAAACTCTCTTTTGAACGATAAAAAAGGAACTCTTACTTGCGGGAAGGAGGATGAGTTGGAATTATACTGAAGACATAAATCGCGCATAACAATTCACAAAAATGTCGCATATATTAAGACAGTAAACGGGCGAATACCAAGTCTAGGAAATGTTTTATGCGTTTGTGTGCCAAAATCACTATTCCGAGCTACACAAATTTGATTTCTATCCTTTTCCCTGAATAACATATCATTCGTTACTCGCACGAAGTGTGTCGGGATACCGCACAGTGCAGTGGAAGGTCGATTCTGCACTGTTTTGCTAAAACTGAACAGGTTTCTCTGCCGGCGGCCCGCTATAATCAATAACCTGCTGAGTGTTTAAAGAGCGGCACAGAAAAGTGGATCATCGGGGCAATGACGAAAACAAAAGTTGAAGGTGAGCACCTGTCGTTAACCCAGCCTCTTTGGAGCTGCTATGCTACCTAATCAATGAATTAATGTCATCTTACACGCAGTACTCGCTCACATCAACGAAGTAAACCGACAATGCGGTATAATCGCGACAAAATCGCCATGCTGGTCAAACCTCGGTGCCAGCTCAGCAGGTTCCGGTCCTCACAAGGGAACACGGTATGCTACAAATGAATAGATACGTGCAGTTCACTTCCGCGTGCAAGTAAGTTGAAGTTACTGAAAAAAAAAAAACCAAGATTTCGAATTGAACTCGCAAAAATTATTTTAAAAAATGGCACCACGTGGATTCGAACCCATGCATTTCAAAACTACGGTGAACTCTCCGGAGCGACACGTCAGACCACTCGGCTACGAAACTGCGCAGAGCAGCACCTCGTGTTTTCTTTACGAACTACTTGCCTAGCCTTCACAGCGTTGCACCTGATGTATGAAACAGAGTATAGGTGAAGCTGCTTGTACTAATGACTGTACTAGTATGCATTGTTTCCGGCATATGCGTAGCAAAAAAAGGATTTATTTCGGGCATAAATGCAGTACTATTTTGTATCCCTCATCGCAGGTGTGCAACATGCGGTTACGCATCCTTGTCGTGGGCCCACGATTCCCAGGCTCGTGCCACGACTCCTGGGTGTGGGAACACAACACACTGCGTGCACGCTTAGCTGCACAGCTGCGGCCTGGCTAATATATGCTTGGTAAGTATTAATGTGTACAAACTGGGGCAGAGCACTTAGCCGTCATTTTTCTATTGCAGAAAACGCAGGTTATCCCCTCGAGCTATGGCTGCTAATTCGAGTCCCTAGCAGTCACCCCGGCAACACTTCCGAAGGCTGATACAACAAGGAGCAGGCATCCATGCGCAATGTTGTGGAAAGATGTATCGGAGTGTTGAAGAGCAAGTTCCGCTGCTCGCAGCACTTTCGAACGATGCTCTACAAGCCCCGATCGAGCAGCGCGAATAATTTATGCTCGCGTTGCTCTCCACAACATTGCGTTGGATGCGGGCGACTGGACCTTGGAATGAGTATGTTGGGGACATGCCATTAGCTGAGGATGAGGATGGGGAGCCAGGGGAGAGCCATATGCTCACGCGCCAAGTTCTGCTCAGAGGACAGCAGCAGCGCTGTCGTGGGCCTTTTTTAATGTACACAGGAACGGTAAGTTTTCAGATCACACACATAATTTATTGATACTATTTCCAGTGCATCTAGGTATGACAGGGCTATGTTTGCCACATTTGAATACACAAAGTACTTACTCGTGCTTCAACATGAAGCATGGTGGGAATGTGAAAACGCTGCATTATCTTTAAATATCACATGAAATAGACAACGGAAACACCCTTTTTTATATCAGTGATCCCAGTCATAACAGACTAGATCGGAGCAAGCACATATAAGTGGGACTCTGTGCTGAATGTTTCATCAAAAAATTGTGAGAGAAATGCAGCAACGTCACACAATCCACTTTCACTAGAACGCATAAAACTTGCAGCTCCATTAGCAACACGTTGCAAGAACGCATGATACATAGGTCCGTCTCTTCTCATAGTCATTGAATACAAGCATTCAATTGTACACACCCGGCTTGCCCAGCACAATGTCCAGCTGGCTTTTTGTTCATTGTTCTCAACACTGTTTAAATACTTAAATGACATTCGATTTGATTTCAATTCTTGACTGCAGTTATACTGCAATGCTAAAAAATACGTAAATCAAAGCAGCAAATAACATGCGAGTTGTTTTGATGACATACAGCATGAATATTTGGCTCAACAATCTCTCAGTTCCCAAAGCATGCCACGTTCGAAATTTATTCCCGCAACGAGTCGTTTACAATGAAAACTAGATAAAATCAATCGCTGGCATGTTGCCGTGATAATGAACATTTTCATTTGTGAAACTGTGCGACATGACCACTTACTAGTTTAGTGCTCTCAAAAAAGACTTAAATTGTAGTTGTTGTACCTTAGCCTCATTGTGCTAAAATGAAAATATCACAGTATAAGCAATTTTCGGCAGGTAAACATGCTTCATAAAGAATGCAGCGAGCTGCGAAACAATGTGGGGCAAAAGATATCACAGTCCAACACTATGCAGTAATGCTGCATAAAAAGCGCAGTGAGCTAGAAAACAGTGAGGCAATACAAATATCATAGTGCTAAAAACATTTACAAAAAATGTCAATTATACGCTTGTGATCTCCATGTGGATGACTGGACACCTTTAAAATGTGGAGGGAAAAAAAACACTGCCACTCGAGCAGCTTGAGCCAAAATTTAGAAACGCATATGTCGAACATAAAAACAGATGAAAGGCATCTGAAAAAAAAAAAAAGCTGTACTCCTTGTACAAAGTAAATGCTAACCTAAAGGTAGTAATATGTATTAAATGCAAACAAAGAACGTGTAAAATTGAACATGAGCAGTAACACGTAAACGTATCGAAACCAACAAACCAATAATGAATGATAAAAAATTAAAACATTGAAAACATGACAAAAAATAAACTATGAGTCTCTCTCCCGCAGCGTATAAAATTGAACGTGAACAGCAACACCTAAGCATACTGAAACCGACAAACCATTAATGAATAATGGCAAGTAAAAACATTGAAAACATGATGAAAAAATTAAAATTAAATACGTATCCCTTTCCCACAAAGAGCCATCAGCCATGGCCCGTGCCAAGGACTGGAGCGCCTGCAGGACGCCCTTCTGCGCTGCTGCCGCCCTCTCCTGTGCCGCGGAAGCAATGAGGGTGGCTGATGTCTCGATCCCCCACAGCACCTGCGATGAATCATCGTGATGGAAATGTTTGCATGAACTGCTGATAAACTCTCGACCATCTCGTGGCTGGAAGCTGCTGCGGCCAAGAATTGCAACGTGCACAACAATTTCTCCTCAGTTGAAGATCCACTGGCCTGGAGGCATCCTTTGAAAGTGCAAAGCTTCGTGTAAAAGCTATGCCCTCTTTCTGCGGATCAACAAACTTTTGCTGGAACTACTCTTCATTCATCTCCTCAAATGCATCTCTTACCATCAAACAGCTCTTTTCAGAGATAACCAGCCTTTTTCCCGGCAGTTTATTATTGCAGATATCAAATACCGTGCCCTCAATACAATGCACGGGTCCTATTTACAACCCAAGTTGGTTTCAGCCATCATACCAGAGCATGAAGAATGTTCGTGCCCTGTATGTCAAATCTAAACAAAGGGTCTACTCACCTCGAGCAACTCGTCGTTCTGCTCAAGGCTCCCGTCGCACTGGGAGGACATGCGCAACAGAGTGTCGGCAAGGCCGCAGAGGAGACTGAGACGCTGAAAACATGCAGCATTTTGTATAGTTTCACCGCATGCTGTGATACCCTTAAATAGTGTGGCCATGTTGTGGCTTATTAGGCTACTTGAATAACATATGAGAGGTGAGGTTATTTTTTCTAGACACTTTGAGGATCAATAATTTACCCGGTACAGCGGGCAGCTTTTCAGCGTCACTTGGTGTTTCTGTGGAGTAAAGATTAAAAGTTCATGAACTGCACATACGTCCCGTTATAAATAAAGCACTAAGTTCTCAAATGCTTGCGTGTCACTGTGTCACTGCCACCTGCAGCTGCTTCAGTGGGCTCCACCGCAGCAGTGGGAACACCCACCTGCTGGGAAATATCGTAAGCGCGACCCTTCAGAGAGTGGCTATTCGTTACTCTGGCTATTTTACAACCTTACGTACTAAACATTTGCAGACATGTTCTGCAGCTATTCAGTGGTCAATGATACCATGTATTAACATTTTAGTGCATGCACTTGCCCGCAGGCATTGCATGTCTATTATGATTAATAAATACCCCTTTTACTGCAAGGGCTGCTACCTAAGATTTTACTTGATTAACCTACCTGCTTTTGGATTCTTTGTCCTGTGCTACTTTCCTATTCAACAAGGTTCCGCTAAAGATACCACTTACAGATAAGGGCAAACTCTTTGTTGGCATCGCTCAGGAACCCATGATACTGCGGAAGCAGATTGCTTACCTCTTGATAGTAGAGGCCAGGGTCGCCACTGAAGCGTGTCATGCCTGTCAGCTGTAGTATCTGGCCGCGAAAGCTCGGCAGCCGAACCCCTCCAGTGCCCCTGGAAATGTTTATTAATGTTAAAGAACAAATCGCCCGTGCCATTTGACGGTCACTCACATTTGTGCCTCCTTCGTGGCGGTGGCGCCGCGGCGAGCCTCGTGCACTTGCCTGCACCACAAGGCCTGCCACTCCTCCGGGTTTCTTTGAGCAGGCCCTTCATTGTACAGCAGGTTGCTGAGCTCCTGCCACAGCCACCACCGGTCGGCGACGGTGACCCCATGCTGCAGCTCGATGGCTTTCGCCGCAAGCTAGGAATGCGCTTCCATAAAGGCGAGTACCAGTGTGCGCTGTGCTTCCGAAACGCGAATGAGCCGCTGCTGTTTGTATTGCCCTCTGCCATGATTGCACTCGACTGAGCCAACGACGTCAAAAGTTGCGCCGTTTGAATTGGAAGAGTAGTGGAGACATAAGAAAAGTAATTGCTTGAAACGGGGTTGTACCTAGCGTCACCACTAGACATCCCGCTAAATTTAGCCTCGTTTTCAAACAATAACAAAAAAATATGTTTGCATTGTGCCGTATTTCTTATGTAAAGTTTGAAAACTAGTTCCAACACATTTTAATAGTGAACAATATTGAACATTTCTCAACATGTTAGAAACACCTTTCACTTTGTTCTACGGTACTCAAGCCGACGTCAAAATGATGATGCAGGCCTCCACTTCCTTCATTGGCTGTTCGCTTCTCCTCGTCCTCACAACCACTGCAGACCACCCACTTTTTGACGTCACGAATGGAATGCCTCCGTCCGGGTTTGAAATTTGTATAAAATTGCACCATTGATGACGAATATGTTCTGCGTGTTGTTGATACAGATACCGTCTTCCACAGCTGCCGCCCGCAACATTGCGCAGGCAGCAATATATGCGATCCATCCTGTATTCTGTGACGTCAAGCCCACCACGCGGACGCACAATGACCTTATAATCTTCTGTCGGCAGACTAGGCAGTCGACTCTCCTTGATTATTTGTTGAACGTTCCGCTCATTCTTCTATTTGTTTCTTGGGGCCTTTTCTACAAAGGGCGACTCTCGCTGTGTATTTCCCACCGAGCCAGGCTGCCGGTTGACCTGTGTCTTGGTGCCTTTTTGCACCAGCCTGACCCTTTTTCAAACCCTTCCAGGGATAAGTCTTCTCCATTTCGGCATCAATCGAGCCTTCGAAGAGGAACAAGGGGGCCCTGAACAGCTCCAACGGCACGTTCGGCCGGGCTCTCCACACTGCCGCAGCGGTGGAGATACTAGCGTCCACTTCGCATTTGCTGAGCTTAGCTGCCGCATTGACATGGCGACCCAGAAAACACTGTTGTTGCACCAAAAAGATGCGGCCCACCTGTGAAAACGTGTTGTCCAGAAGATCTCCAGAACTTCCGTCGTGAACTGGTGTGAAAAATGGAGCTAAGTTTGATATCGTGCCGATAATCATACAAAAACTACGGAGCCGGTACGACATGCGTCCGCACTCTGTGGTCCCCAAGCGACTATCCGGAAAGGCATGAATCACGTAGTTTCCTAGATGGCAGCATCGTAGGGGAATGTGATGCAAGATAGCACCTGGTCCCAGGTCTTATGCTGAACTTATACATACATGGATAATATGTAAGTGCTGGTTTTGTTGAGTCGCTTTGCCAAGCAGATGATCTGCGGACGATATGCCGTGGTCTTGCGATGGCTCGTGTGGCTGAGCTTGAATACGTCAAGAATGAACTGGGCCATGAATGCTTTTCCTCTCTCTGTGATTACGCATGACGGGGCGCCATGTCGAAAGAATGATCTGGTCCATAATAAATTGGGCAACATCAGAAGCCGTAGCACGTTGCAGTGCCTTTGTTTTGGCGTACTTCGTCAAATAGTCTGTGGCTACTACGATTCGATTTTTCCCTGCAGATGACAGTGGAAAGGGCCCCAGTAAATCCATTCCTATTAGATCGAATGGCGCCCTAGGTGGTTGGATTGATTGGAGAAGCCCCGCAGGCATCAGTGGTGGGGAATTGCGACGTTGACATTCCCGGCAGCTTTTCACGTATCACTTAACAGATGCGGAAAGCTTAGGCTAGTAGTACGTTTGACGAACTCAAGCGAGAGTTCGAGCAAAACCCAAGTGACCAGATGTGGGCTTATCATGGCAGGCGAGAAGAATGACGCTGCGCATGTCAGTTGGCATGACTAGAAGATAGGTTCTCTCATTGCAGTCGGAGTTTTTCTTATACAGGACCCCATCTCACAGGCAGAACCACGACAGACTTCGAGAAATACAATGAGGTATGGAAGTGTTACGTCCTTCAAGGTTTTCGGTAACTATGGGGATTTCGTCATCAGCATGCTGTTGTGTAATCAGATCCGTTGTAGAAAGGGCCCCAAGGAAACCAGTCATCCTCGGTGTCGTGGCCACAAACTTCGACAGGTGCACAGGACAATTGATTGGCATCTTTGTGCTTGCGACTTGATTTGTAAGCGATCGTGAAATCGAATTCCAGAAGACGAAGACTCCATCGTGCCAGTTGCCCACACGGGTCCCAAAGATTGCCTAACCAACACAACGAATGATGGTCGGTCACTACCTTGAAGTGGCGTCCATGAAAGTAAGGCTTGAATTTCATCCTGACCCATACAACAGTGAGGTACTCTTTCTTTGACGTGGAGTTGACCTCGGCACGGGAAAGAGTGCGGCTAGCGTACGCTATCACTCACTTCATGCCTATTGTAGTTAGATGAGGACAGCACCAAGACTCACGTTGCTGGCGTCAATATGAATCTTGGTGTCAGCATCTTGATCAAAGTGAGCGAGGACTGGCAGTGTCTGCACATGCTCCCCTAGTTCAGAGAAAGCTGCATCCTGTTCTTCCTCCTAGACAAATGGAACATATTCACGAGTGAGCCGAGTGAGAGGTTCAGCAATCCTAGAAAAATTGGTTATAAAGCAGCGATAGTACACGCAGAGCCCTAGGGAGCGATTTACTGCCTTATTATCACGTGGAACAGGAAACGAGGCCACGGCGGTGCTTTGTCAGGGTCTGGTTTAACACCATTCGCACTGACAACATGGCCGAGAAACTTTAGTTCTTTATGACCGAAGTGGCATTTTTCTAGTTTTAGTGTCAGGTTAGCAGAGCGGAGTGTTTTCAGTACAGTTTGCTTCAGGTGCTCCTCAAAGGTCGCAGAAAACACAACAGCATCATCCAGATAAACTAGGCATGTGTGCCACTTTAGACCGGTAAGAACAGTGTCCACCATTCTCTGGAATGTCACAGGTGCAGAACAGACGTCGAAGGGAAGCACCTTGAAATCATATAGCCCATCCGGTGTAACAAAGATGGTTTTTTCACGATCTCGTTCATCAGCTTTGATGTAACAAAGATGGTTTTTTCACGATCTCGTTCATCAGCTTTGATCTGCCAGAAGCCACTTTTCAAATCTATCGATGAAAAATACTTGGCCCGCTGCAGTCTGTCGAGGGAATCATCGATGCGGGACAACGGATGGACGGTTTTTTTTTTAGTCACGTTAAGTTTTATGTAGTCCATGCAGAAGCACAGTGATCCATCTTTTTTTCTTTTTTAGAATGACCGGAGATCACCAAGAGACTCTTGGAAGGTTGGATAACGTAATCTTGCAGCATCTTTTCAACTTGAGTATTTATCACGTCACGTTCCTTTGCCGAAATGCGGTAAGGGTGTTGTTTTGTGGGCGAGGCATCGATATACGTAATTATTCGGTGTTTGGTGATCGGTGTCTGGAGTTGGATGCAAAGGCCCCTTTAAATTGATATAGAAGTTCACGTAGCTCAGTCTCTTGTTGTTCTGAGAGGGTCGAATTGACATCAACTTTGGCAAGCAATGAAGTCACGTCGCTTGGTGTCGGTTGAAGCCCGTCGTTGGCTGATGTACGTAGATACGAAACATTCAGCAATGTCTGTGACAGGGTAGGCGAAAGTGATGGCAGTGTGGCAAAACAGGTGCCGGTACTCGTTACTAAAATTGGTCACAAGAAGGGCAAAGTGTCCATCATGAAGCGTGACGAAGCTGCGTGCAGCCCAGACACCTAGAGCGAAGAAAAGCACCAAGTTGCGTTCGGCAAGACCGTGGCGCAGTGTGCTTTGTTGTCGTCAACTGAGAAGTCGTGGGTTCGACTCTCGTTGAGGGAACTTTTTTTGTTTGTCTTCCAAAGGTATTTTTCAGGCATAATTTCCGTGATGGAAGTATGTCACTGAAATCTTGGTGGACCCTAACATAAAGCACTTTTGTTTTAAGGGGGCAGACTGGACTTTGGGACTAGAAAGTGACAAAAAAATTCATTTTTTAAAATTGACATATTTGGTATCTGCAAGTATTTTTCTATATCTCTGCAAATTTTCACACACCAGGAAGTAGTAATTTTTTTGTGATGTCATTATAACTGTCCAGATTCTTGGTTCTGTTAACATGCACAACCTGCAAAATAATGAGGAACCGACCTTGAGGCTTTCTTGTAATTGGCCGGCACCTGCGTTAGAAGCTCTGCTACGAATTTATGAGCACCTTTATGAGGATTGCGAAACATGTGCACCATGACTGTTGCTTTTTTAAGAAGCTGTGTGCTTTTAGTTTTTTCTATTTTTCTCAAAAAAGTAAATTTACAACTGTTCAATTTTGAGGCCTCAATATCTCTGTAGCTATGGGCAGGTACAACAATATTTTTTTTTTTGCAATGGAAACCTGTATGTGTGTAGAATGCAAGTATGGGAGCAGAATTTAGAGTGCAAGTTCTTTTAATTAATTACTCATCAAAATTGTAACACAATTCCAACTGCTTTTGAAAATAGATAGTTCATTTTGCTGTAAAATAACCAAGAAAGGCCTTAAAGCAGACAACTCTTCCATAGTTTAAATCTGTAGTTATTAGTCTATGTTGGCATATTTTAAATATCACTTCTAATTAAGCACTATTTTTTTCTATGGTGGCCTTAAACAATAGGGTGTGAACTTAAGTTATCTCAGGAACAAGATTAGTTATAAGAAAACTAATGAAATGTTTGAAATCAGCAGAAAAAAACTGCATAATCCTGTGCGGTTTGATCAAGATCACTGAAGAAATAAACAAAAAATGTCTAAGATCAGTCTGACCCCTCATAAAAACAGTGTTGTTGCAGATGGTTAGCGCATTGGGCTCCTGTGCTGCAAACGCAAGTCCCGTTCCTTTGTGTAATTTACCTTTCAAAATGTGAACTATTCGAAAACACAGCACGATTGCAAGAAAGATTCTCTTCAACAGACATGTTAATTTTTATTGCCGTAACAGCAATGTGCCCATCCTTTAGTACATCACTCAGTTGTACATCGCCAAAGTAAACACAGGCATTTTCTGAAATTTTCAAGTTATTTCTTTGAACAAAATGCGAGTGCTGTATATGGAAGTAAAGTAGGCCATGCAACGACAGATGAGACAAGGCAGCTAGGACGAAATAACACCATACAAGTAAGAAACATGCAGCGCAGTTTATTCTACATATATGATGCAGTACAGTACGAAAAGTCTTAGGAGTGTTTTTCAAGAGAAACAGATTCAATGTGCTAGTTCTCTCCTTGCAAGAGTTACCATCTCACCATCAGGCAGTTTAGGTTTAGCAGACACTTTATTAAAGGCACCCTCTAATTACACAGACACACACAACAGTCCTGATGTGGGCGAAGAAACTTGCCATCAGGGCTTGCAGTGCATGACTTGTCATTTTCGGCCACTCTGAGCTGCTGCTGCTGCTGCAGCCTGCTGGGCCGCTTTTTTGGTCTTCACAAGCTCCACTAGGTCCTGCACAAATGGTGAAAGAGATTTCAAAACAAAAAGCAATTATCATTTATCTGATTGTTGTGAGAAGCTAAAGACAAAACTTACATGATCCTATAAAAATGCTTGCATACAACTTAATGGTATATAATTACACCATTTGAGACATGCGTCCTGAAAAATAACACATCTGCATGACACGTGTTTACTAACTTGAAAACTCGGCAATGGCTATCTTTATTTCTCAAATCAGTGATAATGTGCATACCATTTATGCCACTGGGCAGGATGTATTATAGGAAGGAAGGAGATGCAAGATAAGCAGAAAAGATTTCAGGAAATGACACATTTTAACATAAGGCACAGCACAGTCATGACTCTGGTCAATTCTGACCATTTCGAACTACCTAGAGCGCCCCAGTGCAAACATCAGTTATACGAAGACTGGTGTAAGATGTCATGATGTTTCACTACAATGATTTCTAAAATCAGTTGATAATAGGAGGCGTTAGAAAAAATAGAACTGTCTCTTTACTACACTACCCAGAGGCAAGCTGAATGTTTGTCTTGAATGATGTCCACAACCTAAACTGAAATCTTCCACATGATAAAGCCAAGATAGCATGTGACATCCACATAGTGAAGAGTGCTGCCCTTTTTAGCCCATTTCTATCAATTTTGCATTTCAGCACATTTGCAGCAGTGGTGGATCTCACTCATCTTTGAGCAATGAATCTTATCCGTCAGCCGTGACAAGTGGCATCCTAAAGAGCGCGTCGTTGAACGTCATAACTCTCACTTGAACTACAATTTTTTTAGAAAAAGAAGTTGATTATGATTTGCAAACATGATCACTGCATAATCTACATTGAGCAAGACAAGCACACAAGACTGGAAGGAATGTAACTCGGTGTGTTGGTAATTTATGATGAACAAGAATCGCGCCAAAAAACCTCGGACAAGAAGAGAGCTACAGGACAAGTGCTTGTCCCTTGTTTTTGGCATTATTTTTATTATACATGTTAATGATGATCATCTAGAAGGACTTGATGAACAGTTTCTAAATGATCAGCAATGAGCAGATTGTGAGAAAATTTTCCCTTTGTTAAAAGGAGGCTTTAAATACATGGGTGTCTATGAGAATTTCAAAGTGAATTACAATTGCTTTGCTATATCCATTAGTTCGTCATGTCCCCCTTCATTATAACGAGGTTCTACTTTACACGAAGCAGCGTGAGAAATGAACGTGGGCTCTATTGCTGCTCGACAGTGGTGCTCCTAAACATGAAATCAAGTGCACAAGTGTGTGCACTTAATTGGTTGCCCTGGATATTACCATTGTATGGGATTCTAACTACAATGGAAGAGTGATGTCCTTGGAACGAGAAAATCTGGTTATCAAACCAGTACATGAGGCTTTTTGCAGTCTCTCGCCTTTTTATTTTACAAAATGAACAACATGTCGTGCTTGTTGCATGTTGCTTTTGTTCCTACGTGTAAAACTGTATTTACTCGTGTAATGAGCGCACTCGCATAATACATGCACCTCCAACTTCATACGTCAAAATTTCGATTTTTTTCCCTGCATAATAAACACAACACCCACATTCATACCCTGCAGTCTCACTAACCGACACCTAGTGCATACTTATTACCCTTTGGATCTCTTTTTAATTCTTATGCCTACCCCCATCGGCTACCTCGGCTCGCTCCCTTTTCCCCTTTGCCTGTTGCCGCACGTCTCCCGTCTTCTTTATCTGTGTGCCACAGCAGGGTTGACGAATGCGAGTGTAGAGACATCGCAGCTGATAAGCACACAACGAGCGAGAGCAAGCGAAGGTTATGAATTCGCCCGCCCGAACTGACGATCGCTTCCTGCAAATACACAACTTTAAGGGCCAATGACATGCATGCTATTTTCGAGCGGCGACGACAGGATTTGCTGTCGCGAAGGGTCATTCGTTGCTATCCCGTCTCAGGTTTCTGGAAAACAAGAAAAAAATAGCTTGTCACCCAAGAAAAATTGTGATGATTTGCACGACATGGTAACATCCCCGATACTCGCCTCGCTTGTTCGCCGTGCGTACAGAAACTTCTCATGTGGAAGTGAGGTGCCGGTTGTATTTTGTAATTAATCTTGTTATCGACGATTTGTTTTGATATTTTGGGGATAGCTTGCCAAAATTTTCCTTACTTGCTACAATGACTATGGTGTCGTTGTGCGAGGCTGCCGCGAAGTTGGCAAAGTGCGTCGTAGCACACACTTCTTGGCGCACTTCGAGATCACAGCAGATACCACTGTTGCAGTGAAACGATTGCAAGAAAAGATAGCCGCTAAGCGCTTTCATGGCGTGCGCGGGCTACGCGGGCACAGCTTGCAGAAGAGAGCGCCGTCAACCACCGAAGATGAGTAAAGTGCAACAAAGAACCTGTTTCCAAACAGTCTACGCATCTGCGAAAAGCTAAGCGACCTAACTTTTTTTTTTTTGCATAACAGCATGTTTTGCTCGTGCCGAAAAAGTTTCCATAAAATTTTCTCTGCATAATAAACACACCCCCAACTTTGCTCCAATTTTTCTAGAAAAAGGTGCATTCTTTACGCGAGTAAACATGGTATTCTTTGCTGCAACCGGGTTTCGTTTGCCATTAGAGTACGCATATATGGCATTGTTGTACGTGAGTAAACCAATGCAGAACTAGCACCACTGCAATCACCATCATGAACAGTGACATATCTCTAGCCTTCTGCTATAGCTGCTCTCATTGGAGCTTTGGTTGCGGTCCCGTTGCAGAATGAGGTTGAATTTCATTGCTCCATAGAAGTACTGGCGGCCAATTTCTGAAAGTGGCAATGGCCTGTTCGCAAGAAGGTAAAAAATTCTCTCAATAAACTCAACCGCTGTATCCGGTAATTAAAACATTATTTATTGTTATATAAATACTGCAACAATTACAGTGTCTAGTGATTTCAAGATTTCTGGTGTCGTTCCGGGAGCCGCATAAAACTGCCCTGCGAGCCGCATGTGGCCCACAGACTGCAGGTTGCGAACCCCTGAGATAGACAGTTTGGCGCAGTTTGGCGCAATTTACACTGACTTTATCAGGTTGGCACAGCAAATTGTATTTGGCACACTTTGGCGCAGTTGGTGCAACAATGGGATCCCTGCTGATGACACGTTTATCCCTGGCAAATAACTTCGATCACTTTGTGTCGATTAGTACAGCGTGCCATGTTGATGTGCTTGTTGATTACTTTGACTCACTAGTAAGTTCATGCATCAGTCGTTACAATCCACTGAAAACTAAAAAGATAAATAAGCAGCTTCCTTGGGTTACCCGCAATATCTTGGACTTATCAAGACGTGTTCGTAGACTGCGTAAATTTAGACAATCTGATTGCCAGGTCTGCGCCTCTTTCGAACAAACTGAGAAAGAGCTTCACACTATCACTAAGAATGCTAAGGATTTCTATATTGCAGTGCAACTTTCCCTACTGCCCATATCAAATCCTCGTGAGTTCTGGACATCGGTATCTCCTAGCACAATGGGCTGTACCTGTTTTAAGATTAATGATTCTATAATTAATAACCCTGTTGTTACTTCGAATACCTTCAATTCATACTTCCCATATGTTCTCACCTTCGATAATTATGTAGTTCCAGAGTTTAGTTGCGTTTTTCAGTCAAGTAAACTAGAAGATATCACTTTGAATGTTGATACTAAAGAAAGCGCTGGTTCTGGCGGTATTCCCACTTCCTTCCTAGTAAAAAATTTTTTTACGGGCAGCACACTACCTTACAATAAATTTTCATAAATCCTTAGACTCTGGTGTAGTGCCACGCTCATAGAAATCAGCCAAAGCACTTCCCTTGCATAAATCAGATGACAAACAACTTCTCTCTAATTACAGACCAATCTTCCTCACACCTCAAGATGTTAGAACACATCATTCATAAACACATAATCGAATACTTCAATAAAATCCTATCATTAGCTCAGCATGGTTTCAGTCCCGGTTACAGTACTGTAACACAGCTAATCGCTTTCATGCATCACGTTTCTTATAATTTAGATCTAGGCAATCAAATAGATGCCATCTTCATTCATTTCTCCAAAGCTTTTAATTTTGTGATTATTTATAAACTTCTTTCAAAGTTAAACGTCATTTTCATAAACCATCGTATTGTTTCCTGGATTGCTAGTTTTTTTCATGTGCGCTCGCAATCCGTCTCTTTCACCTCGACAGACTCATCTACCATTGATGTCACCTCCAGCGTTCTACAGAAATCCGTGCTAGGCCCTTTATTATTTTTAGTATTCATTATTGACTTACCTCATAGCATTGAATATAAAATAAGACTCTATGAAGATGATTGTGTTTTATATGAAACTATTCATGCCATCCATAGTCATTAGCGTCTCACATAATCACTCTCGTCCTTTAGCCACTGGTGTAAAAAGTGGCAAATAAAAATAAATTGTACTAAAACAGTGGCTATGTCATTTACCAATCGGCATAAATATCTGCTTTGAATACTTTCTAGGTGGCATACTACTTAACAGAGTTCTTCAGTACAAATACTTCGGCATAATTTTAATCGAGCACCTATCATAGGCTAGTCACAGTGATTAGGTTTGCAAAAGAGCTCTAAAAAATTGAGGTTACTGGCGCCACACCCTACCTCACGCCCCTCGTGACACCAAACTTCTCTTATATAAATCACTGATTCTCCCTGTTTTTGAATATGCATCTGTGGTCTGGTTCCCCTGCAAACTATGTGAAATAAGCTCACTAGATAATATCTAACGGAAATCTATTCACTTTAATTTTTGGTAACTACAGTCGCAACTTCTCACTGACCTTAGCTCTTCAATCATTGAATATTCCATCACAACTCCCACGGTACCAGAATGCAGCTTTGAAATTTTTATACGCAATAATTAACTCCTCCTTCGGCCCTTCTGACGTTCACCACATCACATTTTCTAATGAAGGTTGTACTCGCAGTTCTCATGCTTCAAACCTGGTGACCTTCTTTGCACGTGTCAATGCTTTCAAATACAGTTTTTTTCCACGTGCGACAGCACTTTGGAATTACCTGCCTGGTAGCATTCCTGGCTTGCCACTAAAAGACTTTATTGTGCCATTGATGAACATATCTCTAACGTATAATCAACTTCCTCTTCAATATTGATTTCTTATAAATGTTCTTGCTTTGCCATTTATGTTATTTTTATGAATTTTTTTTCTTGCTTCTAGTATTGTATAATATACCATTTCTGCTATAGCCCTGTATAGGGCTGTAGTACTTATAAATAAATAAAATAAATATTTGCATTCAACTCCACTTATTGTGGTACACATCCAAGCAGTATACAAGAGCTCACAGTGAAACGTGTAAAGTGCCAACTTTAAGCGATTAAAACTGGCCTGACCGCCAACACAAATGCTGGAATGTATTCACATGTGATGTGAGCAAAGCCACATGTACCTTGTAGCGTCGCATGCACTCCTTCTTAGAACGAGTGGGCACACACTCTGCGATGCGGTCCCATCGATCGGGCGTGCTAGCCGGATATGTCTTCAGGGCCTGCTCAAGCAGGCGCTGTTCATCAGCCTGCCAGATCACGGCTGAAACACCATCACCTGAAATAGTACACCACCCGGTCAAAGTCCGCTCTTGAAAAAACCTCAAAAAACAATAAATAAGGGTGTACGATATTCGAAACATCAAATATTCCTTTAATAGTGTTAGCTATTCGATTTCATGAGCACTGGAATTTTTACTATTCGAGCTCCCTAAACACAAATGCCGTCAACGTTCGATTAAAGGTGGCCACTTCAGACCTGTAATGTGCTTCACCTCATGACATTCTCATATTGCGGCAAAGCTGCTTTTTAAGCTCCGCTATGGTCTAATTTTTTCAGAACACACAGTCAACATCAAATTAAAGGTGCCCATTCTGATTTTTAATATTCACATCACACTATCGTATTGTGGCAAAGCTGCCTTTCAGGCTCTGCTACAATCAAAAATAGAATTAAAAAAAAAAAGACCCGCTGATTCCAACATGTATATGATGGATGTTCCAGAGATGGGGGTTCAACTAAAGCTGTATTCAGTGGTGAGACAGCTAAGACTAAATTAAGAGCAGTTTTTGGAGCAGCAGAATTTCACTTTTGGAGCAGAAGAATCTTGCTTGAGAGCAGTTAGCGGCATTTTTTACGTCGTCCTGGGTGCTTGAAAATACAAGTTTTTAGCAACGTGGGGGCACCACGTTGCTTGAATTGGTTTATAATACACATAACACTGAAACAGATGCTGAAAGAAGTTTTTAAACAGATTATCGGCAGGTATGAACTGCACTACCTTTTTAAATACCCTCATAACAAGCATGTGAAATAACATAAAATGCATAAGACTGAAAAAGCAATTAAAAAATTGTGATATCTTAGTTACGTAACAGTGGACCTTCGCAAAAGCATGACATCACAGTGTCACAACAGATTGTAACAGACAACACAAGAGCGCTGCACCGCCACCTTAATTGGGACCACCTTTGAGATGGCAGCGTGGAAGCAAAGAAACTTTGCCGCACGAACTATCTCGTAAAGTACATGCGTATGGCACTAAGCAAATGATACTCATAACTTTTCTCCATGCGAGCAACTACGCGTTATTAATACAGCACACTTTGACTAGTTCTTTTTTTTTTTTATCGTAGGTCATCACTAAAGGACGAATATTTATACACTAAAAAAGTGTGCTTTAGGCGCCAAAGACAAGCAGGTAAAATACCGTTTTAGGCCTTCAAAATCCTAAATATAGGCATAATAAATTTCTGCGAACATTGGAATAATTTAAAACAAGGACGTCGGTGACTAGTATCAACGACAAGCAAAAAAAAATTGATATTGTTTAAGATGGCACAAAGGCATCAACGGTTGAACATAGGCATGCAGTTCCCACCATTCGCAGTTTACGGTCTTTTATTTTATTGCCTAGCATTGTGCACCGTCCAATTAACACTCTCCTAGGTCTCTTTCATTTCATCATAGCTGGGAAGGGCAACGCAGGAGCAAATAACCAGACCACTGATACCACGAAGGGAGAGATGCCAGGTCTAATCGTGTAAGATCGATTTCTCCTCTGCCACTGAGGGCCTTAAAGGGCCCCTTACTAGGTTCGGACATTTGGAGCTAACAAGTGTAACTGATACATTTGACACTCGGCATTATGCTTTTTAAGATTCGCAACACCACATGTCGCAGAAAAATGCTAAACTATTACTGAATGCCACTTGCCCTACTCGCAGGCGTGCGCACCAAGATGGAGGGAGTAACGTACAGTAAGAAATCGTCCTGCTTTTAAGTCATTCCTTTACGTTGACATTGGTGCTCTGGCATCGCTCACTGTACACTCTTCATCAGAACTTGGTTAAATGGTAGCTATATCTAGCAAAACAGAAGAAAAATGTCCAGTCTCCTGATTATACCCTGCATTTTAAATGGTACCTCAATAAGAGCATTGGACATGACATTATTCTAGTTGGCATGTGTAATGTGTGTGTTCTAATGGGTAAGATGAATGAGTACTACTTTGGTTTGGGCTAGCTGCTTCATATCATTTTGAAAGAGAAGTGCAAGGGAGAGAGAAAACAAAGACAGCGCTCTTTGTCTCTATGTATTTTTCCCTGTGACTTTGCACTGCCCTTTCATAATGAGTATAATGAATCAAACCTGCGAAAAATGATAAAACACGTAAACAGAATGTCAGCTTGTTATTAGTTGTATTTCTGTTTTAAATGACCGCGAGATGCTATACACTAAACGGCCCTCGTTTCGCGTTCGCCTCGGTGGACCAGCGGGTGGGGTGCTCCGCTGCTGACCCAAATGTCGCAGGTCCGTTTCAGGCCGTGGTGGTCGCATCTAAATGTAGGCAGAAAGGTAGATGTCCACGTAATGCACGATGTCAGTGCACATTGAAGAACGCCAGTTCGTCAAAATTTCCGGCGACCTTGGTTACGACATGCCTCATAATCATGTCGCATTTTTTTTTCCCGTAAAACCACACATACTACAACCACTAATAATACTACTACTACTACTACTACTACTACTACTACTACTACTACCACATTTCCGTTGCGTTCGTCCTTTCGTCATTCCTGCATTGTGCCTTCACCTACCCTCACAACGCTTAGCTGGTGTTTGGTGCATCATGTCTGACTGCTGTTTCAGCGGAGCAACGTCATGTATTGCAGTCAGGATACATGATCCATGCCAGCCTCTCCAAAAGTGCCCGCACTGACTGATTTATCCCATAGAAATGGTAATACCAACAAAGAACGCTGAAACGACACAACATCGATGGCATACGTACACGAGTAGGCTGGGGCACGTCGTGCACGCGTGACCTTGCTTACGCATGATGTCCTTGGTGTGTATGCATCATGTGATCTTCCAGCTACGATACCGCATAGAGCACTGAAGGAATTAGGCTCGCGATGGCTACATGGTGCGAGAGGCAAGAGATTCAAGGTTGCCTCTTCGCATCATGGTTTTGTGGTTCGTAGTGAACCAATTTGAAAAATCACCGAGCTAGAACCCTTTTCATTAGGCACACAAGAACTTCGAGTGTCTAACTACAACTTATTTCATGTGGAGAGGGGTGCTTTGAGAAGTAAATTACAAACAAAAAGCCATCACATTTTCTACCCGAGGGTGCCGCAGCAGATGGGCTACAATGTCAAAGAAAACATGGCTTTATTGACACAGCACACTTTTTTTAGAAGACAATTCATTCAGGCATGAAACTAATAAAAATGAAATAATATAAAAATTAGATCTGACACCACATTCCAAAATTTCAATTACCATTGCACAAAGAAGACTGTTTAGGTACATTCATTTTCGAATGCGACCTTTACCATGAAATGCTTGGCATAGAAGCTTTAGCTGTAGTTTAATTTGATGCGATGATTGTAATTCCCATCCTAGCTCCTTTTTCATATTCGTAGAGCTGTCATTTTTTTAGTAATGGCTTAGGACAAACCTTGCAGCCATGTTCTGTATTTTTTCATGTTTGTCAAAACTTATGCCAAGCGAACTTATACGGCACAAGCGTATTCAGGCATAGGGTAAAAGTATGCTAAATACATAGTTGATTATGAACATGCGGGCACCTGTCTCAGGCTTCACTGTATAAAGTGTAACGATTTAGTGCCCTTCACTACCACTGAATCATAATTAGCATTACATGAGTGGCCCTCCTTGGCTTTTTTTTTTTTCATTTGTTGCCACGTATATCCGCGGCTGCGCAAAAAAACCTTCTGTTTTTTTATTACCGCAACACCCAGGTTTTCAGGGCAGTTCTTCAATTCCTTCAGGACACTGTCTGTAGAAGATGGTCGCCACGTCCGTGGCCATAGACCCCACTGTTATTTTTTTTATCTTATCTTTAATTCTCTCTCCTCATTCCCCTGCAGACGCTGAGATGTGCTTCCACTCAGGGCTGCAGAGATAGTGTCTTTTGCACTCCTTAAATTTTTCCTCCAATCGCTCGAAGCATGTCAGCTCTGTAGGGTATGGTGGACAGCGAGTGCTATTGCACTGCGGTTAGCAGTTGTTTTGTGGAAGTTGTTAGAACTAGAGGACCTCGTTGAACCTCGTAGTGTTTGTAAATATCAATGTTGCTTTTTTTTCTGGATGAATAGCGGTTTCAAACCACGCTCATAAATATAATTCGGGCCTTAATAGCACACATGTAGGTGCTGGTTTGGGAAATAGGCATTTATAGGCACTTATAGGCATTTGAGGTTTGAGGTTTATTTGTCTTTTTTTCTGTACATAGAAAAAAAAACGAAGCAAAAGCAAAAGGCTATAGAGCTTGACCGAGGCTTTTGCTCCGAAATAAAGTCCGGTATGCAGAAAAGGTGTCTACACAACTTAGACGCAAATAAAACTACTTTTTATACAAAGACAATTAGGAAATTATAATCAGAAAAAATGGAAGTTACAAATGTGAAAAAGGAACAGAAAAATATGCAGTAAAAAAAAGATACCATTAAAGAAAAGCATCATTGTCACAATATGCAGAATAGATGAGGTTAAGAACGCATCTGCAGACATATATATACATTTATAAAGCAAGCAAACGCAAACAATAAATAACGGATTGAAACTATACTCTACACAATTAGGACACAAAGCAACAACTCATCGAAATATCTAAAGTAAACATATTCAATGCAATTATGAAGGAGAATTGCCTTAAATTTGTTTTTGGAAGTTTTTTTTTTTATTTAAGTCAACTACATTTACAAGTTTATTGAGGAAAGTGGGTATTTGATAGTCAGTATGTTGCTGACCATAGATGGTCCTAGTTCTCAGAGTTCTTATGCCAGGTGTACATGAAGCCAGAACACTAAGAAGAGTCATACATGGGTATTAGTTTGTTAGTATTAATATACAAAACTTGTAATAATATATTTGGTTTGCTTCTAATATGAAATATTTAGAAAATAAGGGACGTGTGCTAAGGTTTTGTGGCTGACTGTAGTATCCTTCGAATAGTCATAATACTTTTTTTGTAACGTAAGTAACGTCTTATAGTACTGCGCTGTTGTTGTTCCGCAACACAGGAC